CTGATCAGTTTCAGCAGCGGCTGACTTGGGGATGCCTGGGGTTCTTAAGTTGAATCTGTATGTAAGTCAGAACTGGCGTCCAGATTCAGCCACTGTTGAAACTGATCAGTTTCAGCAGCGGCTGAATCTGGACGCCAGTTCCGACTTACATACAGATTCAACTTAAGAACAAACCTATAGTCCCTATTTTGTACGTAACCCGGGGACTGCCTGTAATAGCACAATAGTAAATATTGTTAAATTGCATACCTTATTACTTTTTTTGTTTTGCTTCAGTGTATGTTAAAATTACCTATGGGCTGATACAAAGGTTGGTAAATTTAAGCTCAAATAGAGCCTTACTATGTTTATGGACAGGGTAAAAATATATATAAAATTGTAGCCAATGTGTTTTTTGATTTTGCAGTCATGAATTTTGTCACAGACCTTACCACTTTGCCACAGAATTGTATCCCATACGTCTGCTGACAAGAGGGGTGTAGTGTACACCTAGCCTCAAGGTTTACCTCCCCACCTTGGGCTACTTGCTATCAGACTCACTGCCGTCAGCTTCTTACCCAGTTTCTTCCAGGCTGTGGGCTTCTTCAGCCATTCCCTACTGATAGGCCTCCACGGTTCCGAACCTCCATAGCTCTTCCTGAAGAGCTCTGGCAGGAGCTCCTTCTTCCACGGCAGTCAGACTTGACTGAGCTGCTCCACTGCCTTTATATCTGTCTTCCAGCTGGTGCATACCCATCTGGACTGTTGGGGTGGGGTGCTCTCAGCCAAGTAGCCCTGGTTAACTCTTGCAGGCTCAGTGCAGGGTTGGTACACCCCATCAAATCATGGTTTATTATTCTCACTTAATATTTAACACCTCATTTCCACTCTCAATTTTGGAGGATTGGGGAGTGCTGGTAAATGAAATGTTCTGGTTAATTAAGAGGGAGAGAGTTTGAGTGTGGGAAGGGGTGTGGGCTCTGGAGGGTGGAGATTGGATGGGGGAGGAGACTAAGGCAGTGAGTTGGGTTGTGGAAGGAGGTTTGGGGGATGCTGGATCCAGTGAGGACACTCATCCCAGGCAGTTTCCCACAAGCAGCTACTAGGGTTGCCAGGTGTCCGGTATTGACCTAGACAGCCCATTATTTTCATCTCCTGTCAGGTTAAAAAAAAAAAAAAGAGAGATAATACCGAACACCTAAAATGTCTGGTATTTTCTGATTTTTTTCCCCCCCTGCCAGGAGGTGAAAATACCGGACACCTGGCAACCCTACCACACTCAGCAACTGGGCCCTCCCCCCACCCACCCCCCTCCCGCCTCC